AATTCAAAGGCACACTAATACTTTAAAGTATGTAAGAAGTCCAACAAGAATTTTTTTATTTTTATTAAATAATAAAAAGATCAAAATCTTCCATACTATGACTTAATAAAAAAGCCACCATTATTGCCTTATCAAGCATTTTCTCAGATTGATCTTGCATAGAAAGTAAGCATTAGCAACATCTTGCTAAAAACTAACATGAAAATAATGCAACGAAGAAAAAGGTACCTGTTGGCTGAACAACACCGTTGATATTGTGGCTGGCACTCTGTTCCTTTGTCACCTCACCCCGATTGGGAGGAGGTGCGCTCACCACTGCAGATGCAGCAAAATGGGCACTGGCTGAGTCAAGCGTTTTTGACATGCAATCAGAAGTGCTTGAGCCCTGGGAAATTTACACAACAGTTTTCATAATTACAGACTATTTATAAGATAGCATCAAATTAATTCTTGATATAAACACTAAAAAAATTTATCCAGACTCAAAATATGTTCTCGTAATGACAGATCTGCTTCTAACTCTTAGACTTCAAGTACCTGTGTGGCTGCAGAAGAGGAAGGGGCTGCTTTGAGTGAACAAATAAGCTTTCACTGGTTTCAGATTAGGTTCTGTCTACTAAATAAGCTAAATGGTTTTGCTTTCTATCTTTTACCTTTACCATTTTAAAAGTTGTGGTCCAGTGCGGAAATGTTAAAAGCACCTTTCTTTAAATGGAAACTTCTCCACATCCCTTCCAAAGAGCATTAAGTTTCATTTGTGTACATAGGGGTAAGAAACCCAGATAAGAATGAGACTTGAACAACATGCTGTATTGCAACCACTAACATAAATGCAAAAATATCAACACACTCAAAATAAATTTTGTCCATTGTGTTCATATATTAATAATGTCATAATTTTCAAAGAAAGGCAATAATTCACATTATTAGACTATTTAAATAATGTTGAATCAACATTACAAAGGGGCTTGGGGAAAACTGATTCAGAAATGAATGTCAAATTCTAAATATTAATAAATAAATCACTGGGGTTCTGTATTACATTACAAACTAGTAGATTTATTTTATTTCACCACAGAGTGTAGCCCAAGGAAGCTCATGCCTTAAAGAATAACACTGTGAATCTGCTATTCTTTAAGGTGCCCTCATGACTCTGGTGTTTTTTGCTGCCATCAGCTCAATATAGTAGTTACTCTTTGGAAGAATTGTGATGTTATTTTTATGAATTAGAAGAAAACAGATTTTTCTAAGAACAGATAAGACAGATACAAAAGCACTAACTATTGGTTTATAATCAACAATGCATACAGCATATGGGCTATAATCAATACACAAGCATAACTGTGGCAGTCCTTTTTTGCCACAACACTGCATTTATCTACTCTATTTTGGTTGCATTGTTAAGTATATTAGAGACTGGCCTATTTGAAGTAGATATGAGAACAAAAAATGGGAGACAATTTTTTTTAAAAAAGCAGAACTGGTTCTACATTGGTTTCTAGAAAATAAGAGAAATAATTTTCAAGAAAGGTGTTTGTTACCTGTGCTTTTGGATATGTCTGTTGGGATTGATGCTGAGACTGCTGTTTTTGCTGGAGCTGAGCAAGTTGCTGCCTTTGCATTTGAACTAACTGCTGTTGATGTGTCTGAAATTGTTCTTCTGTAATACCCCCCGTTACTGTAGAAAGAAAGGAGAACATGCTTGAATTTAAGGGTTCGAAGTCATATAAGTCGCTGTATAAATTACATGGATTGGGAAGCAAAACAATTTTTAAATAGCTATATTACATAGCACAATGAATTTATGAAATGATTATTTTAAACTTGTAAACTAAGCTGTTCGCTAATTTAGTTAACTACTTATAAATTAAATAGCTGATAGTGTCTCTAAAAAGAATATACAAGTTTTAAAAAGCATCTGTAAAGTGTTATTTATTATTTAAAAAACTGCCAAAAACAAAACCAGCAGTTTCAGCTGCAATTAATCATCATTCATTAACTGAGTTGTTTTATCTGTAGTAACTCTGGAACTCAATGAGTTTTTTATTGTGATTTGAAAACTTCAATATTTGGTAAAGTTACTGGGTTGGTGACCACCAAAACTATAATTAGGGTAGTTTCAGCATGAAAATGTTTAATGAGACAAAAGAGATGAAGTCCTTCACATTTCTTATTCATAGTCCTGTCTGCACATTATATCTTCCTAAGCCTACAATTAGCATAGAGTTTATTTCTTGTACCTCCTGGCTTTTTCAGTCCTCCCACCATTCAATATCATAGCCAGCAAATAGCAGTACTTTGTTAGTTCAAGGTTTAGCATGTTATCTGAATGTATACTCATGCTAGTAGAGAATATGTTATAAGCAGGTCTATCACAAATAATGGGTATAAAAATGTAACATACTTATTTTTCTTATACCAATTATCTCAGCACCTGCCTAGTTAAGAAAATTCCTACAAATTTCTTCGTAATACACATAGCTACTGCATCACAAATAGAGATACTGTTTCCCAATTTCCTCTTTGTGCTAAATTGTATCATTTGCTCTGGTTTTGTCTAACAGCTGACAGTTCATGAAAACTCCCACTTGTCTTGATTAGAGTATTTCTGCAGACATTCATTTTATTTTCACTCATACTATTCCAATGTAGTATTTTTTTTTTAAAAAAAAACCACAAGTATAATAGAGTTTGGGAATAATTTTTGGATGGTCAATTGAATTAGCTTGTGCAATCCAACTGAGCTTAGTTTATTTAGAAACTGACAGGCTTTGTTGGTCAGTTATGTCAATATAATTTTTTAATGAGAAACATATTCTATTCCAGAACTCCAGGCCCTGTTTTGTTACTTATAATTTTATGTAAGCAACAGGGGCAAAGAAGGCCCCCCAACTATACTATGTTGTAAAATAGTTCATATAGTAATAAAGGTTAAAGCTAAAATCAGAAAAAAAGCCATTCCTTTGATATAAATTGCTTTAACATTCTGTATTGTTGGGTCAGAGTTGGCAATCTTTTAGTAATCGGGGTGCACATATTATTTTTAAGAAAGCAAGATGATCCAAAGTAGGCCACATGGATAGGGCCAGGATTTTTTAATATTTTCATTAACTGTGGGAAGAATGTTTCAGGATTTCTTAGCTGCAACTTGCACTGTAAGGCATTTTATAATTTATACTGCAGTTTGTTAGTTACTTTAATTATAGGAGTTTCTATAAAAGCTCTGGAGCTTCAGGCTACTGATTCCTGTAATAAATATTTTATTTACAGTATATATTTATTTTACATGCTGCCCATCTCATAGTCACACAACTCTGGTCATCTCACCAATATTCTTTTCTCCAAAATCTATTAAACCTTTTGATTTTTAAAAAATGGGAATGGGAAAGTAATGTACATTCTTCACCCTGATAAAGTTCCTTTGAAGGGAAAGATTTCAAGAAGAGCAGAGCAGGTGCAATTCAACTATATAGCTTTTGTTCAGATCTTTGCACAAGAAGACTAAGAATGAAGAAAAAGGGCAAAGTTCATTCCTCAACTTATGACTACAGCTGACCCCAAAATTTATGTTCTTAAATAAGACATTGAGTTTTCCCCCATTTTACAACCTTTCTTGCCAGAGTCAAGTAAATCTCTGCAGTTGATAAATTAGTAACCCAGCTATTAAGTGAATCTGGCTTTCCCATTGACTTTGCTTGTGAGAAGGTCACAAAAGGTGATCACATGACCTTGGAACACATCAACGGTCAAAAATATGTATCAGTTGCAAAGCATCTGAATTTTGATCACATGATGATGGAGATGCTGCAAAGGTAGTAAACTGTGAAAAATGATCACAAGACACTTTTTTCAGTGCTGTTGTAACTTTGAATAATCACTAAACAAACTGTTGTAAGTTGAATACTATCTGTATATACTTGCATTTCTATTACAGGTAGTCCTCGACTTACAATCACAATTTAGCCCAAAATTTCTGTTGTTAAGTGAGACATCTGTTAAGTGAATTTTGCCCCATTTTATGACTTTTCATGCCAGAGTTGTTAAGTGAATCATTGCAGTTGTTAAGTTACTAACACAGTTGTTAAATGAATCTGCCTTCCCCATTGACTTTGCTGGTCAGAATGTAGCAAAAGGTGATCACATGACCCTGCAACCATCATAAATATCAGCCAGTTGCCAAGCCTGAAGAGAGATCTACAGTTCATCCTGAGGTTGAACATGATAATGTACATAATATTTGAAACTACAAGTAGTCCTTGACCTACGACCATTTGTTTAACAACTATTTGAAAAAAATGACTTATGACCAGACTTCTCATTTACTACTGCTGCAACATCCTTGCAGTCCTATAATCAAAATTTGGTTGCTCAGCAATCAGCATGCAATTTATGACAGTTGCAGCATCCTGAGGTCATGTGATTGTAAAGTCAAGGGGGAAGCCAGATTTGCTCTAAAGATACTGTTATTTGTTTAACGACCATGGCAAAAGTTGTAAAAGCAGTCACATATCATTTATGTGCCCAACAAAAGTTCTGGTTCCAATTGTGGTCATTTCAAGATTTAATTATTTGACCCAATTATTGTCATATGCCAAAATTTAATTGTTTCATTCAGTTCATTTCTCTCCCCAATCATTGAAGCTTTCCCTCTGCTTAAAAATCACCTCACATATGAAACTAGAGAGCTATAGCTAGTTTTCTAAATTTATTTTTTTGACTTGTACAGACAAAAGCAGGTAAAATTCTACTTCCATTATTGATAGGAGTCAAACATATTTTAGCATGGACTGTTCCAACAATCTACAGAGGAGACTTGCTTCTCTTCAATAAGAACATATAAAATATCCAAGGGATGCATAAAAAATGACATATTCAATATGCATACTAGCAAACAAGACATATTTTGTAGGTATCACAGAATTCAAGGGATATACCGGGAATTACTTCCTAAATGTATCTGTCTCTTAATTCAAAGTATTTGTCTTTCTCTCACTCTTTAGGACAGCTGTGTATCAATCAGGAAGACAAGATGATTTACTCCTACTTTTAAAACACTACTGAGCCTTAATTTCTCGCGTTTCAACCCGCTCTGAAGGGAGGTTGGCCCTATTGGATTGGCTTGTCCCAGGCCACTAATGGACCTGATTGGGTTCCAGAGGGAACTTGAGGTTAGTCCGGTAGAAGTCTTGGAGGCTGCAAGGAATAATAAAGTGCCAACAACTTTAGATCAAAACATGATTGAGTGGCCTTTCTATGCCCATCGTTCCCAATATTACCCATAGTATACAATGGAACTAAGGGAACTTAAGCAGGCTAAAGGATGCCTAGAGCAGGGCTGTCAAACTCCCAGCCTAGGGACCAGATGTGTCACATGCAGGCCATGCCCCCACCTGGTTTAGCAAAGAGTAAAAAAGTCCCAATATATCACATGACGCTGCCGTGACGCCGTGAGTTTGACACCTCTGGCCTAGAGGGTTGCTGGTGAAAGATAGGAAGTGAAGACGACCGAACACGAGCTAGAGCTGCTATTAAGGCCTATCTCATGGAGATTAGGGTGGCGAAACATAATTATTTCTCCTCCCTTATTGCATCTGCTGATAGCCATTTAGCGGCACTGTTTCAGGTGACTCGGTCCTTCCTTGAAGAGAATAAGGCCGAAGTCTATCTAAAGGGTCATTCTGAAGAATATGCTGCACATCTGGCAAATAAAATCAGTGACATTTGCTTTATGTTGGACTCCAACTCTTCTGGGAAGAATTTTGAGTCTATTGAACCTGAGGAAGAGTACAGGGCTCTCTCAGCTACTAGTTCAGCCGCTTGTGTGTTAGATGTTTGAATGTTGGCTGACAGGAAAACAAGCTTTTACTGCAGCAGCCCATTTTGTGAAAAATCCTCCCTTCGGACATTAAAGGGCCCCCAAATCTGTTACCTTTCCATAAAGCTTTGAACACCTGGCTATGAGAGACAGACATCTGTTAATGGCATTGCACATAACTTCCAAATGTAAATTCTGCTCTAAAGTTTTCTGCGCTAACTTTTGGCATACTCTTATCTCTCCAGAACTATTTTTTTTTTTTTTTTTTTTTGGGGGGGGGGTTTGAAGGATAGATTAAGTTTTCATATCTACAAATATTATTATTTTTGTTACCCAAAATAATTAATGATATTTTGACTGTGTAGCGTAGAACAGGGCTGATCAGTTTTAGAAGTAGTCTTTTTCAGTTATATTAGTAATTATCATAATTGTATCTAGTAACTAGTTTGCAAAACCTACTTAATGTATTGTTTGGATACTAGATCAGTTAATTAACAGCCTCTCTTTTCAACATGGAGCAAAAGTTGTGTTTTTGGCATCAAATATAAATTGCAAAAAGCATAAATATCCCTAGCTCATATTTGTTTTTATGAAGTCTATGGATTGATTTCACATTTTCTTCATTTTCACTACCACTGTCTTAGTAACATTAATGCATAAGGCAGTGAAGTTTACTCATTATCTGATAGCTTATTTTACCAGCCTTGATTGAGCAACTCTTCCTTCTTTGACTACATTTTGGCTGGATTTTTTTTTTTTTTTTTATCTTGTTTGCATGATACTTACTTGGATGTTAGTTAATAGGTGCATGATGAGGAAGATTGTGTTTAGGTTTGTTCATCCCTTTTCTTGACTTTTGGTTGCTTCCTTTCTTAAATGATTTGTAGGTGGAGCTTATCACAACAGGTCTATTAACAACTAGATAATTGGCTATGACAATGTATCTGTTAATGGCTAGGGGCAGATCATGTCAACCATTGAGTAGATCTATTGAAATGAATGAGATTTAAGTTATAATTAATATGGATGACTTAACCCAACTTAATCCTCCTTATTTATGTATATAACATAATTTTGATCTCTCATAAAATTTACTCTTGAAAATACAACACAAAATTATTTGTATATTTTTGGTAATAACATTTGTGCTGTCAATTGCAACAGATACATATCAACATAAGAACATCAATCCTTCAATTTGACAGTTGATATAAATTTCCAGCCTGTTCTAAGGAAAGGTTTTAACAAATTTATGGGATTAAGGGCCTACAACTGTGATGGCGAACCTATGGTATGCATGCCGGAAGTGGCACACAGAGCCAACTCTCCAGGCATGCCAGCCATTGCCGTTGCTCTTCTGGTTTCCGGCGCTCCCACGCATGTGCGCCAGGGAGCTGCTCTTCTGGTTTCTGGAGCTCCCCTGCGCGCTCTCCCGTTTTGGCACTCGGTGCCAAAAAGGTTCGCCAACACTGGCCTATAACATTTCAATGATACCAAAGGATATGCCTTTATATAGGAATCCGACTTGTTTAATAGAGGTATGTTTTTAAAAAAGCAACCAAGCCATTTCTGTTTACCATTCTCACAAAACACATGATGAACAGTCAAGAAGCAAATTACTAAAATACCTATTCTTAAAATAGTACTGAATTATGACCAAGTTCACATTTATGAATTATAAAACAGAGCACTATATGCTACAAAGCCCATTTCTGGGGAAACCCTCTTCTATCTTCTCTAAACTTATTTAAAAAGGCAGGAGAGAAGTCCAGCTCAATAACCCAAGCTCTGTTCTTAACAGTATTGCCAAGAGATTATTATTATTTAGTTTTAATTTCAGCATTAAATCATCTTGGCTGAATTTGTATGAAGAACTTATATAAAGACTTAACTCAGAGTAGCAAATATTCCTTTTGCAGCTTTCCAACCATCCTCAGGTAGGACCTGAGTTTTTGTACTTTTGGGGTTTTGATAGTGGGTTTTTTGGTTGTTGTTGTTTATTTAATTTGTTTAAGGGATAAAGTGAGTTCTTTAACTTGCACACACTTTCATACTTTAAGCAACCTGAAGTCTCACTAAGCAACAAGTACTGGCCCTATCTACTCTTGGAGTACAGTTCTCAAAATGCTGTAGAAGGTTTACTGGGGCTCTCAAGCTTATAGAAGTTGTTTCCTCCATCAAAAAATGCAGGTACTCAACAGCCTTGAACACTGCAGGAGGGGGTAATTAATGCTACCAAACATTTTATAATTCTTTCTGAATAGGGTTTTAAAGTTTGTGAACAATGACTTCAGAAATCTTAGATTCAATGTGTGAGCTTAGTCAAAAGTAATTCCTAACAGGTGACTGGGGTCTGATTTTGTAATCCTATACACTAATACTCACTGCTCCATAATTTGGGAAAATCCACTACTGTCCATCTTATGATAAGTCTCATTTCACTCAGAACGTTTGAGCAGATTGACCTGTAAGGGTTTTATATTTTCAGGCTACAATAGCAATAGCATTTAGACTTATATACCGCCCCATGATGTTTTACAGAATTCACAGGGTGGTTTACAATGTCATACACATATCTAAGAATAAGCTTCATTAATAGAGTTGGGTTTAGTTTTGTGTCAGTAATCATACAATAATGGTTTAAGCTACCATGAGATATTTTTAATGCATAAAGCAGTCAAAAAAATTTAAACAAAACAAAAATATTTTATGATATCAGATTTTCTTCCTTTCTTTCTCCCTGATGGATTTCCAAATCTATGAGGGAAACGGCAGAATTCTATCAACTGAGAGATATATTATGATGTAAATAGTATTGATAAAGCTGTAAGTAAGTTTTAATGAAGTTTGAAATCAAAGTACTGTACTCTTTATCTGTCAACTAACTACCTGCCCACCCATCACATTATTTCCTTCCAGGAGAAAGAACATTATGCGAAATGCAGACAAAAGTGCAAGGAATGGTAAGCTGAGAAAACTGATAAGAATATACATTCTTATACAATATAAGAAAAAGAAAAATACTGAATTTTTACGAACACCATTCATTATACTTCATCCTCCTCTATGAAGCCAAAGCCATCTTTGCTTCTACCACCTCCATAGGCTGTTTCAGATACAGCTCTTCTCTTTTTGAGAACCTCATCAACTCCATCTAGTTGCAACATTATTAGTCTTGCAGTTCTATTTTCATTCTCTTTATCTGACTAAATCACTTCTTTCATACTGAACACACTCAGGTCTGTATTTCATCCACAATTCATACTTGATTCATCATCTTGGTTTACTGCATACATTTCTTATATATATCAAATCTAATGTGTTTAACTTACTTTTGTGTTTACCTGACATACTGTTGTACTATATGAAAGAAGATTAATATAACAAACAGCACAGTGGCCAAATAGTTAGGACACTGGGTTGTTGACTGGAAGGTGGACAGTTTAAGACCTAAGCACCTAAGTGTGACTGACTGAGTTCCCGTTACTTGCCCCAGCTCCTGCCCACCCAGCAGTTTGAAAGCATGCAAATTCAAGTAGATAAATAGGTACACTTCTGTGGGAAGTGACTCAGCGTATAGTCACACTGTCCAGAAGCGTCTTTGGACAATGCTGGCTCTTTGGCTGTGAATCAGAGATGGGCACTGCACCCTGAAGTTGGACATATCTGGCAGGGGAAACCTTTTTAATCTTTTTAAAATCAGAGGTGATGTCTTAAGACTTAAGATATGAATGATATAACAATAGAGGCTACTAGATAACTGTGCACAATTGTTTAACATTACCGTAAATATTTGTTTTTTCACACTTTCCTTTTTTTTTCCCTGAGGGAAAAATCTTAATGATTGAATTTTCTCTAATAGTCTAATGTAAATTTGTTTATTATCTTCAGTTTTAGTTGTTAATTATAGGTATTAGAATAGATGAGTACAAGAACTGCTGGGCAATGTAAAAAAATTAATAATTTTTTTTAAAAATGTTAAGGACTATGTTAAGGACTAGATTGAAAGTGATAGTATTGCTAATTCAGTTTCAAAAAACAGAAAACTGAAAGACAGGTATGCAGAAACTTCTTGTAATATTGGATTGAGCAGTATATAAGCGTAGCAGTGGAATAAAACGGACTCCCATGAAAACATTACTAGAACTATGCCTAATACTATATCTTAAAATTAAAGCTATTTTATATGACTAAGAGTACAACTCTACATAGTATTTTTTTCTGAATCCCATTATTATAGCTATAACAGACAGATTCATATAAAAAATTAAAAATAAATTTATTTAAAAGTTAATATTGTCAATCTTTGCCTACCTGAAATCCCATTCTTGCTGGTGTTCAATAAAGCTACAGAAGGTGCAGAAACTCTTTTATTATTCACAGCCTGCCCTGGTTTCCTTGAGGTACATTCTTCACTATCACTGTCCTGTACGTTTAGTAGCCTTGGTTGGAAACACTGCAGTCGACAAGACCTGATATTGCTTAGTATTTCAGAAAGGGAAAGTTTATTTCCACAATGTTTATTGGAAGCATTGGTCCGTGAAAAATTAGAAGAAATGTCTATATTTTGGGAAGAGCTTGAACAACTATTTAGCATATCTGGATCAATCTGCTTCAGGACAGGATCATTTTCTGTGGCTATCCGGTCCATTAATACCCTGATTTTAAAAGAAATAAAAAATAAATGTTACTAACAACTTAAAATACAAAATACTTGCATTAAATATTCAACTGGAGGAAAATATCTTATTTTACCTTCCACCTCTCCCAACTCGTCTTCTTGCAAATCCTATACATCTTCTTGGAACTGTAAGTGTTGTGAGACAATGTCTATATCTTAGCTTATCCAATTCTGCCAGTTCTGAATTTTCATGAGAATAATTAGTTTGGTCCAAATGAGTCTAGAGAAGAAGTAAAAATTAATTGATTACTGATTTCATTTATAAGAATTATGTGGCCACCCATCTTAAGAAATATAGTTCCGGGGGATCCACAACAATAAAACCCAAAAAATAATAAAGCAGAAAAGCAAAAACCTGGCACCTCAGCCATTCTCTGATGCATTCAACAAAACCATCCTCAAAGTTCATCCTCTTCTAGCACTTGGAGAAAGAGTTGGTTCTTTAGTGTTCCAAAACTGGGGGGGAAGGGGGGGTGTTCCATAGGGTAGAGGCTACTATGAAAAAGGCACACTTCTGAGGTCCCACTACAGGGCAATATTTAAGGGAAGGGACCTGGAGCTTGCTCACACTCTGTCTGACCTGGTAGAATAGACAGATATTCTCAGTGAAAGTTGGTCCTGCAAATAATCTCACCCATGCCATTTAAGGCTTTAAAGGTGATAACCAGGGCTTTGAATTTCAACTGGAAAGAGACTGACAGCCAGTGCAGTCACAGAACAGTGATACAGGTAGTCTTTGAATTACAACTAGTTTAACGACCAAAGTTATGATGGTCTCAGAAAGGGTGCTTTATGGCCTATAAAGCACTTCTGGCCATCATAAAACATTGCACTGCTCCCCCAAAGTCACATGATACTGAACTGAGTGCTTGGCAACCTAGTCATACTTACCACTGGCTAACAAGTGCCCCACAATCATGCAATAGTCATGTGTAATCTTCTCTGCTGGCTTTCTCAGAAATTCAATGGGGAAGCTGGCAGGGAAAACTGCAAGCTGCTGCTGCCACCTACTGAAAAGACTCCCTCTTTTTTCTAGGAGCTGACAAAAAGAGCTGCCTGCCAGGAGTAATCTCAGTTCTGTGTGACTCTTAATATTTCTTCCCATCCCAGAATTGAGATTTCAAGCCTGATGAAGAATTTCCCCTCCCCTTTGTTCACTGCAGAGAAATCATTCATTGGAATAGTGTTAAAATCCTGACAATTTTTTTTTCCTTTTCCTGCAACATGATGTAGATTATTCCCCCATCCCAATCTCTCCCCAAGACACCTCATCTGGGACATTATCTACTTCATCCCAAAGAAGAATGGACACAGTATTTTTACAGGGAAAGTGACTAACTACACTGATCCATTAACATTAGGATAACTATTTATTTTATGTTATTAAACAAATTTATATAGCCATCCAACTCACACACAGTGATTCTGAATAGCATACAGCATCACAAAACCATCCCTTCAAGGCCTTGCAAAAAAGCAACAAGATGAGAAGGCAATCTTATCTCTTGGGGAATTATATTCCAAAGGAAGGGAGCCACCAGAGAGAAGACCCTTTTCCTAGGTCCCATCCAATGTACTTTCTTGATAGTTGGGATCCATTATGAAATAGAAATCATTGCTAGATACTAACAAATAAGTATAGTGTATTACTAACATTTAAGTCATCTTTGGAATTCAAGCACTTCAAATTTTATCTCCCCCCCCCTTCCATTTCTTAAAATGAACAGGAATACCAGGGAATTCCTAGTCAGATACTTTACTTGCTCCTTAGACAAGCATTCACTATTTTTACAAGAATATAGATAAGCAGATCATGGATTCAATTCAGAATAGAAGACTGCTTCCTCAATTCTATTTATGAGAGCCAGAAGCGCACCGTTGTAAATGGGAAGAGATATACTTCAAGAAATTAACTGGAAAGTAGTTGAAACAACTGAAATCATATTCTGAATTCGTGAATTCGTGTCTGAATTCCAAACGCCTAATGTATCATTTAAGTCTAGAAGCAGACTGAACAAGTAAAACATATATTGAAACTGAATTAAGACTTCAGAGCATCAACTATCAGAGGCTGAGAGGAAAAAAAACAGAAACAGCCACTGATACTATACAGGCCAAGATATAATTCAACTACAGTGCTTAATTCAGTTAAGGCCATATCAATAATTAAAAGCAACCAGCAATTTTGTCGTCTAGTATACTGTATCTTGAAATACTTCAACATCTTCAGGTTCACAACTTGTCAAATTTAATAGCCTTCGCTAATAATACTATAGCTAACATGATCTGAAGCAATTTCATTCATAAATAAAAACCTTGCTAAAAAAATACCTGCAGTAAAAAGGAAGTAGAGAAAGAAGGATAATTTTAACAAAGATTCAAAATATGTTTTCTCTTCTGATCAAAAATTAATATTTTGTTGCAAAGGATTTTTTTTTTAAAGTAAAAAAATCTTACAGCATAATATTGGCATCCTGCTCTTCTTCTGAATGCACAGGCTCCATCGGGATCATTTTCTTCTTCTGGCTCAGATATTGGTGAGGATACCTAGAAGCCAAATAAAATTAATTTAAAAACATGATTAATTTATCATTCCTGGCAAATATTTCTTTCCTCTGTCAAGCAACTCAACATATTTAAAACCAGGAAATGCACATTTAAAAGTGAAAATGAATTTCAACGAATAGCTTCTGAAGAGGCTTCTTGATAATAGTTTGTATTACATTTGGAGACATCAAATGCCCAAAGAGCCCAGTGAATTTTCAAAAACTCAGCTACGTTTTAGTCATTTTCACAAACCTAACCTGTTCTTTGGATTCCAAATTACTATTAATATACTGTATGGTATTTTATCTAAATATATCTTTAATCACAAATCCTTTTTTTAAACTTAAATTTTTTAAAACTTTTTTTGAATTTAAAAAATTCAAATTCATATTGCTTCCCCCTCACGCCACCCCCATTTCTATCCAAATATAAATCAGGATTCTTCCACTTACATATAAAAAAGATCTGCTTTATAATGTGGCTGACATGTATTACCTGGGGGAATTCATCTTCATCTGAACTGTGGAAGTCATATTGTTTGATATCACTTTTACTGATCACAGGCAAGGGCTCAGTAGTAGACTGCTGAGGACTTATTACACTCTCAAGTTTAGGCTTCTTTGGATACTTCTTCTTTTGACGGACAACATCAGACACTTCCTCTTTTAGAGATGAATGGTGAGCATGCTGTTTGTGTACAGTAAATTTTAGACAAAACCCCCCACATTGTTAATCATTACCTGATTTTCATGAAATAGTAAATAATTTTTTCTCCATTCGCTCCAATTATATTTACAAAACTCTGAACAAGTAGTACGTACAGCATATATTATTCAAAGATTGAGACATATTTATTGTTTTTATCTGTTATCATTTTAAACTAACTTGTATCATTTTAACTAACATTTTAAACATTTAGTGTTTCTAAAGAATTTATGTCTAGTATGTGTTGTTTCTCTCCAGTGAAAAACATAAGGTTTTCAAAAGGATCTTTCTCCTGTCTTCAAATTCAATTTAAAAATAGCTACAGCAACATTATATTTTTAAGATTTTTACATGAGCTTAGCATGGAAAACAAGAATAGACAAATAAAAAGTGATAAATGCCTACAATCTAATAACCACTAGATGTCATCAAAGTTAATACAAACATTTAAACAAATCTAATCTTTTTTAAAATATCTGGATTTTTTAAAAAAAGTGTAATGTTATTTCCTACAAATAATGGAAGCCTAATCTCTGAAATAAAGACATACAACTTCATTATTACATGGAAATGACTAATGTGTTAGATTTTGTTTTTTAAAAAATCATCAAATAATTAACATGTATTGAAAACTGTTTTCTGATCATAAAATTGTCACAAACATAATGATTTTTAAAGAATCCTAATGATGCATTGCCTAAGAGATGTAGAAGCAATGCTAAATCAAAATACTGGTGTGAAAAATATAAGAGGAAATATTATTCTGTCAGAGTTGTGTTTAATATAGTGTGGGCAATCTAAAGCCTGCAAGCACCCAAAACTATATTTTTGCAGCATCAAGATACTGGACTGTTAAGAAAAATATGAAATCTTCATTAAAGCTTAATACATATACCCTAACTCAGCACAAACATGCATCACCATCTGGAAATTATCTGTTTTATGGCTTTACTGTATTACCATCCCAGTATCTTACAGAAAGCTTTCCCACTCTTTTACTAACAACTGTACAAGTTTTGAGGAATAAGTAGATGCGATTAAGAAAAACTACCTAGCATAAAATTGTGAAAATTCTGTATAATGGGTTATATATGCAAACTTAAATATACTGATATTTTTACAAGGATATCGGTGAGATTGGCACAAACAGTAGTAACTTTGCACTACCATTAATAATACTGAATCTGATCCACATGAAGTTGTTAATGCTCTAAATTCAAAAACTGTAAGCTTCCCAGATCAACTAAAGTTGATTTTCAAATAGCTATCCGTAGTATCATATAACTGATTGTATTTATCTACTGTCTAATGTACAGCATGCTTAATTTAAATGTATTTTTATTTTGCTTTGATGCCATTAATGGAAATAAATCTAAGATGATAGGAGAGAAGAACCGTGTGTTTGAAAAGCCTTTAATACTTTCCACATTACCTAGCTATAACATCCCTCTAATTAGGCAATAAATGTAACAACTAAAGTCAGTTACCCACCTTAACTTTACATTCTTGAACTTTGTGGTGATTTCCATTATGAAGTGCTGCAGGAGTGGTGTTCATCTCTTTCTCAGTTGAATTAAGCTTAACTTCATTAAGTATTTCTCCTCCATAATCACCCAAATGATATCTTTTAAAAGAGTGAGAGAGCTTATAGATCATGAATATAGCATAATAAATTAATCTTTTAAAAATATTTTTATTTTACAGAAATCCTACAAGATGGTCTGATCATCTTTTAAAATGCAGAAAAGCAGATGAAAAATACTATTTGTTTAAGGTCATTTTACAACTGATGAAAGATGGAATAATGCTCTACACAAGCTGCTATTATATTTGTTAATTAAGGCAACTGCATATTACAGGTTAAATATACTACAGGTAGTCCTCAATTTATGACCATAGTTGAGCCCAGAATTATGGTTGTAAGTTCAGGTATCACATGACTGGATTTGAAGTTATGATTATTTTTTATTATCTTTGTTAAGCGAATGCAGCAGACATTACATGAAACCATTTTCCCCAATGGGTGGGGATTTTTTTGCCAGAAACCAGAAGTAAAGACCAGAATCTGACAAAAAACATTGCAGAATTCTGCAACTGTCCATAAAGTCAAGCTTGTGGCTAAGACCTCAACATGTGATTAGGTGACCACAGAGTATGGGTAGCCACCAAAACACTTGAGAACAGATCATAAGTAGCTCTTGGGAGTTCCTTCATAATTTTGAACAATTGTTAAGCAACTGGTCTTCGGTTGAGGACTATCTGTAGTATTTGGAGTGCAAGATGACTTTCCTTGATAAGAATGATTAACTCAAAAAAAAGTTTTACCTTTTCTCCACAACTTCTAATGTCAAATGTAGTAACTCTCGTTTTGTTTTTTCTCGTCTCTTAATCATCTCTAAAATTGTTATGGCTCTACTGAACTCTCGTCTTAGTTTCAGCATCTTCTCATAAGAGGCTTCATCATTTTTCCGATTCTGTTAGAAAGGAAGTATCTGAATGAAAAACATATCTGGAAGATATAGTCAGCCTGAGTAAACTTGACTTTATATGGCTTTTAATAATATTGAATATTTGGAGGGGTTAAGCCAGAACATTAGAAGCAGAACTGTCATTCTTTATTGCAGCTTCTTGGAACCACCACAGTCTATTCTAGACCTAGAAAATCATGAAGAATGGGAAATGCCAGTCCGGGAAGGGAAGAAAGAATCACCAGAATTCAGGAGAATCCTCCTGCCTAGGAGAGAAATATTCCCTTTGTGGAACACACTTTTGAATCCAATCTTTAATGAACAAGTATGTAAACAGTACCTGTCTGGTGAATTGAAATACTAAATAAAGAATTATGTCTGTTTGTATCAGTGTGTCTTTTTTCACAAGCTCTATGGATTTCTGTGCCATGTATATACTATACTTGCCATTTGAGAAAGGAAATTAATTTTTTAAATTCTGCTTTAAAATTAAAGCATCTCATAAATTCATACGAGTCATGAATATCCAAATCCAAGTATCTCCAAAATCATAAAAATACAATAAAAACACAGAGATATTTCAGTACTATAATGCAGTATCCCATGAGTTCCACAATCTTACATTTGGGCAGTTAAAGAAGTTGGCCTAGGTATGCCAACACCCACAGCTATCACAATAAAGCCCTCTTGCATCACCTTCTCACAAATTCTATTCAACAAAAGTATATGTTAAACAAACAGCCTACTGATGTTCTCTATGCATGTTCTTAAAATTCATATGTGTGTGTGCTTGTCAAATGTATATGCATGCAGTAATTTAACACATGCCTTAATGAATTAATTTGCCTTTCAAGAAAAGGTAAAATAGTATTGCACCTTAAACTGTGGCTTGGATATAAAATTGCCTGCTATCCACAAAACAAATGTTTTATGTGCAGTTTGATCCACCAGGAAAATATGATGGTAAATGTCCCACAATTAGATAAAGGGACACTGAATTCTCATAGCAGCTCCCTACGAAAACCCACATATTGACAGCAGTAAATAATTTTCTAGGGAATATTGTATTTATTTACTTTTATACAGGTTGCACAGTTTTTAATAGGAAATAAGCTCTCAAAATAGATAGTAATTTAGTATGTAAGCAGCATTTAAAAGCACACACAAAGCAACTATAACAACATGCAACTTTTCTGGGGGGGAAATTGCCCACTAAATTCAGTTAACTGGTTACATCACATTTAGCAGCAATAAATTGCAACCAAATGCTTGCTGCAGTTTCTGTCAGTTTTTTACATTGCTATGTAGGCATTTGGGTCCATTCTTCAATAGTGACACTCTGGAAAACTACTGAATTGAGAAAATTACCTTTCTGGTCTGCATTTTCTCAGTTCTCCTCCGAAAAGCCACATAGGGATCATTGTTGGTAGAACCATCTCTTTTCTCTTGTTTGATTTGGGGAATGAGGGATGGCCCTCGGCAGTTCTTACGTTTCCTTACCCAGTAGTCATAGACAGCCTTAATAAGATAATCATCCTCATTTAGCAGCAACTTAGCTTCCTGAAGTGTTACAAGCTGAAAAAGATACAAAAAACATATTTCTATAACAATCATATTAGACATTTTAGTAGCTGTTCTTCATAATTCAAGATGTGAATTTTGTGTGAAGAAATGTAGAATCAATACTGTACCTATATAAACAGTTACATAATACATTTCTCCAAAATTTCTTCATGTACCCACAATTAATTTTTTTTATTATATTCTCTGGACACATCCAGAGAAATGTATTATATTAACTGTGTTTATGTATGTATAGCATATTGTATATCCCCTGGATACATCCTCCACAGCTCTTGAATGGCAAATGTAAAAGGAAAACCACACAAGGAAATTGGTCATACTTCTAGTAGCAAATACTACTGTAATCATTGGAATGACACAACTGAATACAATATAATTACCCTCATCAACAAGCGTATAAATTATCAAGAACTAAAACCTAACTTGTCTACAATTTTAAATGTGCACCAAATAACTGTAATTTTATCCAACAGCTTCTCAAGTATTTAAATTAAGGTATTTAATTTTCCCTATGTCAAAGAAAGTTTTTCGAGCGTTACTGCATATTTTTTTATTTTATTCTTCTAGGAGCTTAGCAAGTACTTTTGGATATTATATTATGAAACTAGTGCATGTATGAATGCCTTAGAATTTATAGCAAATATGCTTCCAGTAAGTCTGCAGGAGAAATGGTCTCTAGGAAGCTTTTCCGCTATGGCAAAAATGGAAGAAACCTCCAATGTACCCTGATCAACCTAAAATTAGTCCTTTCTAATTACCACTACAATACATGAGATTTCAGTTAGTTACAACCTATTTATATCACTGATTTAAATGGGACTTCAATTAATTAACTTTAGATTGGAATTTACCCAGAAAACCTTTCAAATCAATTACCTAGAACTCTTAGCCTTTCTTTCTAATAAAACGATCTTATCTATTCCCAAAGTCAGGTTTTGGAGCTGACATGAATTATTACTCACATTCATTCTCCCTCAATACTTTTTAAAGATGACTTGGTAATCTATTTCAAGGAGAATATTTCTTAGATAAAGTAAAATAATTTGATCTGTCTGTTTTTGTTACCTTTTTAAATTAAATACCCAGATGTTCTGGGTGGTCATTCTTACATGCAAAAATTGTGTGAATTGGTTCTTAATTTCCAAATGGCAGATTCATTGATTTTAGGTATCTCCACAACTATTAAACAGTTCAAGACCCACCCCTGAAAAATTATATATATATTTTTTGTACCGGTATGCATTTGAGATCTATTGACCACCATAACCATAATTATTCTTTCAAATGTAAATGATCAATTACCGTATTTTTCTGAGTAGAAGACGCACTGGAGTATAAGACGCACCTTAGTTTTTGGGGAGGAAAATCAGAAAAAGCTGATTGGCAGGTGGATCGGCCTTCCCAGAATACCCCCAATCAGCTGTTTCCAGAGGTGAATTTTAGCAACAGGTCCCTTGGTTGTGAACTCTGTGCCTTGCTTTTTTGGGGGGGTTTTTTCTGCCTCTGAAACTTCTGAAACTCTGTTTCAGAAAAAACATTTTCCTGCCCCTGAAAGCCTCCGAAAAAGCCTCTGAAACTCTGTTTGGGGCTTCTTTTCTGAAGATCTGTTTGGGGGCTTCTTTTCTGAAGCTCTGTTTGGAGGCTTCTTTTCTGAAGCTCTACTTGGGGTCTTTTTTTCTGAAGCTCTGTTTTGGGGCTTCTTTTCTGAAGCTTCTTTTCTGATGCTTTTTTCAGCCTCTGAAACCTCTGTTTGAGAAGTTGGGCGGGGCTACATTCGGAGTATAAGACGCATCCAGATTTTCACCCTCTTTTTTGCATCTTATACTCCAAAAAATATGGTAATGGAAAATTAATTCACAGTTGAAAGACCAGACTTCCCACTTTATAACAGCTATGTACATTTTACTGTATCCTGCATTAAAATATTACATAAAACCTAACTCAATTCCTTTCTCTTTCTGATATGTACTTTTAAAAGCAAATATGTATTCCAGATATTTTGATTTTTTTAAAAATTATGTAAATGTTCTATTGGATTAAAGTAAATAACTTCCAGTCCAAAGAGTGGAGGCCTGTATCTACATTATAAAAGGCAATGGCAATATGAATACAAATAAGCCAATCAATTCAGGACATTCCTTTCCCTTTCATGCCTTCTGATATCATTTATACACTTACTACAACATAAGGATCCAGCTTTTTTTTATTTTGAAATCTTACCACTTGGCAATATCAAGAAGCTGAGGATTTATGTGTCTAAAAGTTTCATGTTTTGAAGTAGAATAACAGCTAGTAAAATGTTTAGCTTCATAAAAGATATGTGGGTCTTTTTCTACATCAACTGATTTAAAATAATTAACAAACACTGAATCCTGGAGTAATTCAAATAATTCAAGATAATTTGGATATAGAAGTTTGAGATTAAGTCTATGGTTCATACTGCAGAAATGTACATGTATTAATCAAAGAATGAAATAACAGATAAAATAATGTTTCTCCAATACATCAAATATAACATTTATGAAAATCATTGCTTTCTCATTGCATTCATCACAGCAGCAACAGAAGCAAGGCATAGTAGCCTAAAACACTACCTGCCTAAAATCATCTTGTCTTCTTGTCTGAAACAGCTACTATGTGGTATAAGAAATAGCTCTCAAAGTGAAACAATTTCCACACAAGTCAAGGCCTCTAAATATTATGGTAGAGATATACACAAAGTGGAAAAAGGGGAGAGCAACGAAGAAAGGAAAACTCCCCAGGCAAACGGATGTATATAAGTACCCCTTGAATAATTTATATATCATAATATTTCTTCTTAATTTCTTTATATAGTATGAAGGATGTATATTTAGCATTTCTGATAATAAGAAATTACTTATGCATTGTAAATAAAGGCATCCACATTTAGCAAAACTAATAAAAATTCAGTTTTATCTGCAACTGCTTAATGAAGAGTTGAGAGGGGTTGTTGAATTCATGATACCTGATTAGAACTAGCTTTTTCAAGCCTGTCTATCATAATTTCAAATTGCAGTGGTTTGATTTCCATCTTCCGATTAAGCCTATTTAATAATGTTTCATCTTCCGAGTCCATATCATAATCAGGTTGTTCATTGTCCAGATTAAAGGCTGAAACACAGAAAAAAATAGTTTAATTTAAAATGGCATGCTTAAATGGATATAAGTATGCTAATGAACTATATGTGGCCGGGAGGGGGCGGGGGGAGGGAATGGCTATCTAGTTCAAGTATTGGAGACAAAACACATCTTTTTATTACTGGTCAAGCCATTCCCTCCACCAATGAGAAGAAGTTAAGAAAGATTACATGTGTCAGAGCCACAGAGTGCCTGAATTTCAGAAAAATATTTATTAAGCAACTATGGCAAAATAATACATTTACTAAAGAAAGAATCATCAGAATTAATACAATGGGAAAAGGTACTGTTTGCAAAACATTTACAACAAATCAAGTTGTGAGATATTGGAACTTAATACCCTAAGTCAGTAGACCGTTTTAAACACATTTTCAAAACAATAAAATAAATTACAACAGAACATAGAGAAAATCGTATCGTAATTTTAACACAACCATGTGACCTTTATAATGATCCCTTTATCACTTCTTTACTGGCATTTAGGAAAGGCTGATTTTAAAATTTTGTATTTATTATTGACTTTATATCCTATCTATTAAATTAAATCTTACCCATATCATGGTTAAATACATAAAGTTATATCTGCCTTCCTTTTTTATAAAAGTTTTGAATATCAAACAGCAGAAATCAATGCAACTAAAATA